CCATCACAGGGACACCTGGACATGTCTCCAGTCCATCACAGGGACACCTGGACAGGTCTCAGTCCATCACAGGGACACCTGGACATGTCTCCAGTCCATCACAGGGACACCTGGACAGGTCTCCAGTCCATCACAGGGACACCTGGACATGTCTCAGTCCATCACAGGGACACCTGGACAGGTCTCCAGTCCATCACAGAGACACCTGGACTGGTCTCAGTCCATCACAGAGACACCTGGACAGGTCTCCAGTCCATCACAGAGACACCTGGACATGTCTCAGTCCATCACAGGGACACCTGGACAGGTCTCCAGTCCATCACAGGGACACCTGGACAGGTCTCCAGTTCTTCACAGGGACAAACACGTCTCTAACTGAAAACTCAAACTTTATTCTTGTTTTCTGACTGCCTCCTCTGATATTTACTTTTATCACATGATGTAAAAAGTTGCAGCACATCAGTCAGTTTGAAACAAGAAGCTCACTCAGAATCAGAACAAATCCTTAAACTTAATAAAACAAGTTTATTAAAAGTGCAAACARGTGAGTAAAACCTGCACATTTATAAACAGACCTCAGAAAAATACTTGTGTTCACATCATGTCCTGAAACAAAAKCACAGAATAATGTTTTACTAACTTGGAACTCTGTCAGGTTTCACATCTAATCAYCACACAGTACTCTACTCACCCTACATATTACAAATATAGTTTATATACTGTATCTATTGTCACCTGCCAGAATACAACACAGAAGACTACGTTTGTGATTAAAACCAAAACAAACAGCAACAAACTAAATACAACAAAACCAGATCAATGAAATCAAGATTTAAATGTGATTAAATTCTATTTTTCTGTTTTGTACTTTAASACCTCACACAATAAAAGGAGTAGATTTAATAAAACTTATTATAGTTGACTAAAATGAAAATAATTATTTTGTGATGAGGAAAATAAAAATATAAAATCAAAATAAATTTACCCAGACTTTAGTTTCTGTGCTGTTATTGATATATTTTGTTATATTTCCTGTTTGTTTTCTTTCTACTTGGATTAAGGTGTACAAATAATTCAAARGATAATAATGCCTGTTTATTACTTGTACTTGTTTAATAAAGACAACAAAACAAACAAACAATATCTCAGTTAAATATTTAGGGACTTCCTGTGTGTGTGCTCGTGTGGAGAGACAAAGTGCGCTTATGTCGGAATCTTTTCCCACACACCTCACAGGAAAACGGCTTCTCACCGGTGTGCGTCCTCATATGAACAGTGAGAACACTCCTTTGGGTGAAACTTTTCCCACACCGCTCACATGAGAAGGGTTTCTCACCGGTGTGGGTCCTGATGTGGACGTTCAGATTTCCCTTCTGTCTGAAACTTTTCCCACAGATTTCACAGGAAAAGAAGACGTCGCCTGCGTGAGCTCTGATGTGAGCACCTAGAGTGCTGCTGTGTCTGAAACTCTTCCCACAGGTGTTACAGGAGTACAGCCTCTCACCTGCGTGGGTGCTCATGTGCTCAGTCAGGTCYCTACTCTGTGGGAACTTTTTACCACACGTGCCGCAGAGAAACGGCAGCTCCGCCGTGTGGGTCCTTGTGTGCAACGTCAGCTTTCCAGACTGAGAGAAACTCCTCCCGCAGACTTTACAAGAGAAGGGTTTCTCACCTGTGTGGGTTCTTACATGAACGTTCAAGGCCGACGAGCGCCCAAACTTCTTGCCGCAGGTGTTACAGGAATACGGTTTCTCACCCGTGTGAACCCGGCAGTGCCTCTTCATTTTGGATCTGAACCGAAAGGATTTCCCACAAAAGTCACATTTAACAGAGTTTCTCCCTGTTTCTGGGTCATAKAGACCATCACTGACGGGATCTCTGCTGGACCCTGGGTTTTCCTGATCTGCTTCACTCAGATATCGTTCCTCAAAGTCCACAGTCACGAAGACGTCCTCAGCCTCCTGCTTCAGAACCGGCCCTTCATCCTGACGGATCCGCAGCTCCTCGTGTTCCTGTTTAACCTGTGGAGATTCTGCTTCTTCCTGTGAAGAGTCGGGCTCTTTCTGCTCCACAGCAGGACTCTTCGGCTCGTTACAGGACTGTTGGTCAGAGGAAGCATCCTCGCTGCAGAGACCATGTCTGGAAAAGTCTTTAGAAATAAAAAACAGAAATAACTTTAATGTGATCTGGCTGAAATGAACACAATAAAATCGATAGCTAACATTAGCTTTTTCAGTTAGCTAATTGTAGCTACTGCTACAGCTACTGCTACAGCAAACAAGAGATAGCATTACCATTACTTCGGCTAACTTGTGCCAATGTTAGCTTATTGCTTCAGCCAATCAAATAGAAGTAAAGCATGTCATATAACTCAAGTTTATGTTAGCTTAGCATTTCAAACAATTCATGCTAACATTAGCATAGCACTTAAGTCAACTCAAGCTAATGTTAGCTTAACATTTAAGTCAACTCAAGCTAATGTTAGCTTAACACTTAAGTCAACTCAAGCTAATGTTAGCTTAACACTTAAGTCAACTCAAGCTAATGGTAGCTTAACACTTAAGTCAACTCAAGCTAATGTTAGCTTAACATTTAAGTCAACTCAAGCTAATGTTAGCTTAACATTTCAGTCAACTCAAGCTAATGTTAGCTTAACACTTAAGTCAACTCAAGCTAATGTTAGATTAACACTTAAGTCAACTCAAGCTAATGTTAGATTAGCATAGGTCAACTCAAGCTAATGTTAACTTAACATTTAAGTCAACTCAAGCTAATGTTAGCTTAACACTTAAGTCAACTCAAGCTAATGTTAGCTTAACACTTAAGTCAACTCAAGCTAATGTTAGCTTAACACTTAAGTCAACTCAAGCTAATGTTAGATTACCATTTCAGTCAACTCAAGCTAATGTTAGCTTAACATTTAAGTCAATTCAAGCTAATGTTAGATTAGCATAGGTCAACTCAAGCTAATGTTAGCTTAACACTTAAGTCAACTCAAGCTAATGTTAGCTTAACACTTAAGTCAACTCAAGCTAATGTTAGATTACCATAGGTC